AATAGATGTTAGCTCAGAGCCGGTCTTCCTCAGCAAAAAAAGGAGGATTAGCATGGATGTTAGCTCAGGGCTGATCTTCCTCACAAAAAAAAAAAAAATCACTTAGTCATGAAATGGTGGCTGACATTGATCCATAAACACCTAATCCAGCTTCTGCTTATGATAATTTTTACCTCTCAGAGATCTTCTTTCCTATTGTGTAAGACTAAGGCTAAATACCTACTTGATGGGGTCAATGTGAGAATTTTAAAAGTTTGTAAATTTAAAGTGCTCAGCCCATCTCAGGTAGTAAATACATGATAGTTTCTGTTGTCTTCTTTCATTGTCTCATGTGGTACTACTTACAAGATGGTTTTTTAAATATCAATTACATTTAAATATTTCTGTATGTTCCCCAGGTTTCTAAGGATTTGTTGTTAAAAATTAAAAATACCATTCTTCAGAGGACAGTGGATGGCATGCAGCAGGAGGGTATGCCATACACAGGTAAGCACATTGATGTCATTGGGACATTATTATTATTTTTGGTGAGGAAGATTGGCCCTGAGCTAACATCTGTTGCCAGTCTTCCTCTAGTTTATATATGGGTCCCCGCCTCAGCATAGCTTGACGAGTGGTGTAGGTCTGCGCCCAGGATCCAAACCTGTGAACCCGGGCCACCAAAGCGGAGTGCGCCGAACATTCATTGGGACATTATTCATACAGCAACTTTACACCTTTGACAAAACTTCCCCATTTTCTTTTTTTTCACCACCTTTTAATTGACCACTGTTGTAACATTTGTTATGATTATTCCAAAACTTTGAGTATTTGAAGTTTGTATTCTAATTTTCATGGTCACAATATAATGTCTCATAGAATTTTTTCTTCTTTTTTACTGAAGGTGTTCTCTATGCTGGTATAATGCTGACCAAGGATGGCCCAAAAGTTCTGGAGTTTAATTGCCGTTTCGGTGATCCAGAGTGCCAAGTGGGTAATCATTAAAGATAATATAAAGTATTACTTCGTAGGAGGTGTGTGTTGTTTTAATCTCAGGATTTATCAGCCTTGAAATAATAATTACCTTTGAGAAATATATGCAAGTTCTGTTAGCATCCCAGGGAATAAAATGTCTAAGAAGGACTAAAATTTCTCTGAATTGCCATGTCGATTATGTATTTCCAGGTGATCCTCCCACTTCTTAAAAGTGATCTTTATGAAGTGATTCAGTCTACCTTAGACGGCCTGCTCTGCACATCTTCGCCGGTTTGGCTGGAAAACCACAGTGCCGTAACTGTTGTCATGGCAAGTAAAGGTTATCCAGGAGACTACACCAAGGGTGTGGAGGTAACAGGTGAATGTCAGAGAGCAAAAGGTTGAATTACAATGTGATAAGTGACCAGTGCCACAGTAGGCCTCCTTCCCATGCTCTGCTCAGCTCCTTTTGAGGGTGTAAGGCCATCAGAAACCTTTCAGGGGTTCTTTACATAACCATGTTGCTTGTTGGATATGGGTGTTCAAATATCCAAAATGATTGGATTTAAAGAACTGCCATCCATTTCCCTTCCTGCACAAGGAAGACTTACGTGGGCCTAGCCAAGTTTCCAGAGTATCTCCCAGTGCAGCCTTTCTCTTCTACCCTCTGAATGCCAAGAAGATAATGGGAATGTATGAGGGTCAGAGGAACATTCGTATAAACTACATCAATGAGATAAGTTTCAGAGGCGTGATCTCTCAGCGATCACAGATGGACCTCCCAGTTTGCAGTGCACCCCATAGTCACTTGGATGGCAGAATTAAAACAGTTTCAAAAGTATAGCCTTCTCTTTTGTTTCTCTTTACAGGAGGTGAGGCATCTAGTTAAATGATATTAAATAAAACAGTGTTTTAAAATGCCAGATAAGTTCCAGTGTTATAAAACCTCTGTGATCCCTAGCAGGCTGTAGTTAGGCCTCCCTCATTACCCCAATTGTGTGTTTGAGTACCTAAGACTGAGTGCCCCTATGTTATAAAAACATAGGAAAGACATATTAACAAACTACTAAATATGATGCTAAAGAGAAATGGAGATGGAAAAGGAAAAACTGGCGATATAAGAATGATTTTTTTAAAAATTAAGAAATTATCTTTGGTCATTTTAAAGATTTTATTTATTCACTTTTTCCCCCAAAGCCCCAGTAGATAGTTGTATGTCATAGCTGCACATCCTTCTAGTTGCTGTATGTGGGACTCGGCCTCAGGATGGACGGAGAAGTGGTGCCTCGGTGCGCGCCCGGGATCCGAACCCGGGCCACCAGCATCGGAGCGCGCGCACTTAACCACCAAGCCACGGGGCCGGCCTCTTTGGTCATTTTAGAATATATGATCTACTAATATTTTAAATGTAAAATTATGTGTGAGAGCTTAAAAATAATTCAGGGCTGGCCCCGTGGCTTAGCGGTTAAGTGCGGGTGCTCCGCTGCTGGTGGCCCGGGGTCGGATCCCAGGCGCACACCAACATGCCACTTGTCCGGCCATGCTGAGGCTGCGTCCCCCATACAGCAACTAGAAGAATGTGCAACTATGACATACAACTATCTACGGGGCTTTGGGGGAAAAAATAAATAAATAAATAAAATTATAAAAATAATTCAAAAGAGGGGCCAGCCCGGTGGCGTACGGTTAAGTTCACACAATCCACTTTGGTGACCTGGGGTTTGCAGGTTCGGATCCCTGGCGCGGATGACACACCGCTCATCAAGCCATGCTGTGGCGCCGTCCTGTATAAAGTAGAGGAGGATGAGCACAGATGTTAGCCAAAGCCCATCCTTCTCAGCAAAAAGAGGAGGATTGGCAACAGGTGTTAGCTCAGGGCTAATCTTCCTCACAAAAAAAATAATAATAATAATTCAAAAGAAAATGAAGCCAGGCATTTTAGACTGAGCCTGAAACCTAATTTAAATCAAATTTGTCTTAAAATTTTACATTGTTATATTAGGGAAAAGATTATGTTTTGCATGGCAAAGATCCTATTGGTTATTTAAAAATAAAGAAAAAGCCATTTTATGTAGATGGCTATGATAAAAATTCCCTTAAAGTGAAAAATGTGGTCAAATGCAGGATTTATTCATTAATGTTTAGGTTTTATATCTTTTTTTTTTTTCGGGTTGTCAACTTCTTGTCAGAAGAAAATAACTTGGTACTTCTAAGTCTCAAACTTTTGGGGGCTTAGCTTTTTTTTTTTCCTCTCTCACTGAAACAATAGTTCTTACGTGAGATTTATGATAACAGGAGGTTTCAGGAATACAGTTGTTACCCTAGAGCAGAACAGACTGTTCTTAGGAGAAAGGGTCTGTTTACTATTACATCGCATTAATTCCTTCCTGAAAGGAATCTTATGAAGATTCATTTAAGTGAAATAAAGATTTTATTTAAAAGAACTTGTGTAAATTATTAACCACTTCACAAGTGTAGAATATTGCTATTGCAAATAACATGTCAAATATGCTCTTTTACAGGGTTTCCTGAGGCTCAAGCTTTAGGACTGGAGGTGTTCCAAGCAGGCACTGCCCTAAAAGATGGCAAAGTGGTGACTAATGGGGGTAGAGTCCTTTCAGTCACAGCCATCCGGGAAAATCTCATCTCGGCCCTTGAAGAAGCCAAGAAAGGACTAGCTGCTGTAAAATTTGAGGGAGCCGTTTATAGGAAGGACATCGGCTACCGTGCCATTGCTTTCCTCCAGCAGCCCAGGTAAATTTCTTGCCGAGGTGATTACAGCACAGCTTCAGAACTGGCATAAATGGCTATGTAGAAACTTCCATTAACCCTGTCCTAAGTCATTCTATATTCTCTTCTCTCTATGGCACTGACTTGATTTTGATTTTCATTTAGTTTGAATCAAAACTAGTTAAAATAATATTCAAATGAAATGGAAGAAACTTTATGGTAGCTCCTTATGTTTGAAAAGTTTAGTAAAATTACAGTGATATTAAGGATTTTTTCACATTGTACAGTTTAAATATATACAATCATTTGTCAATTATTCATCAGTAAAGATGAAGGAAAAGGATTTTTATTCCTTGAGTTAGCGTATATTTAAGTATTACTGTTGTATTTATATCTTGGTTCCTGGTTTTGTCAAAGAATTCAAGATGAAAATATTGGTCATCTAACTTTGCAACTTAATTGGATTATACTATAAATTTTGACAGTCTCATTTTGTCACTGTATTTATATCTATTACTGAAATGTATTTTTTGACCCTTCATTGGTTATTTATTGGCATGTACAACTATTCTTTTGTAAAATCAATAAACTATTAATTACAAATGTGGGTGTTTTGATTTTTTTTTTTTTTTTGTGAGGAAGATCAGCCCTGAGCTAACATCCATGCCAATCCTCCTCTTTTTGCTGACAAAGATTGGCCCTGAGCTAACATCTGTGCCTGTCTTCCTCCACTTTATATGGCCACAGCATGGCCAACAAGCGGTGCATCGGTGCGCACCCGGGATCCCAACCTGGGCTGCCAGCAATGGAGCGCATGCACTTAACCGCTATGCCACAGGGCCGGCCCCTGTTTTGATTTCCTAAGTGTATATCACAGTTACTATTGTTTATTGAGTTCATCTATGAGAAATCAGTATGTTTTAGGACAAAATGAGAAATTTTTAGCAACTTAATTCAAGCTGTACTGTTACCAATTTTTCAAGTTTAAATACTGGAATTTTTTTAGAATTAACATTAAAATACCATGCTAAAAATTTATTTTTCATTTTATTTATTTATCCCCCCCCTCCCCCGCAAAGCCCCAGTAGATAGTTGTATGTCATAGCTGCACATCCTTCTAGTTGCTGTATGTGGGATGTAGCCTCAGCATGGCCGGAGAAGTGGTGCATTGGTGCGCGCCCAGGATCCGAACCCAGGCCACCAGCTCCATTATTTATTTTTTTTCCCCCAAAGCCCCAGTAGATAGTTGTATGTCATAGCTGCACATCCTTCTAGTTGCTGTATGTGGGACACAGCCTCAGCATGGCCGGAGAAGGGGTGTGTCGGTGTGCGCCCAGGATCCGAACCCGGGCCGCCAGCAGCGGAGCGTGCGCACCCAACCGCTAAGCCATGGAGCTGGCCCTATTTTTCGTTTTAAAATGACTGGATGCCACTGAAATGACCTGTTGTAAGAGACTGCAATCTTAGTATTAGTCTAAGTTCTTTAAATTGAAGATGAAGAAAATGTGAGGTCACGATAACAGCTGCTACTGAGAAAAGGTTTTCTTTAAACCAGTAGAACTTCGTTTCCTATCTGAGCGTGACACTGGACTGCTACCTTTATTGGAGTTAACTGCCAAAACTCAACTTTGTTTGTACGCTGGCACCTTGTTTCTAATAAAACTACATATTTCTTCACATATCACTGCATCCCATTAGGCCGAAGTTCTCATTTTTATAAGGCAAGACTACTGAATTCACAGTGCTATGCATGAACTTGATCTCTAACTATATTCTTCCCTATAAGAAGGAAATGATGCACTAAATATCATTTAGTGCATGGTTTTGCTTGTTTCATAGTTTTTTTAATCTTGTTTTTTACTGTCTTTAGCTATAAGGAAACTGATACAATTCTCTCTTATTGCAATAAGATCTCAGTTTCGTTATTTAAAGATTTCTTGGGCCGGCTCCGTGGCTTAGCGGTTAAGTGCGCGTGCTCTGATGCTGGCGGCCTGGGTTCGGATCCCGGGAGCACCCCGAGGCACCACTTCTCCGTCCAACGTGAGGCCGAGTCCCACGTACAGCAACTAGAAGGATGTGAACCTATGACATACAACTATCTACTGGGGCTTTGGGGGGAAAAAACTGAATAAATAAAAAAATCTAAAGATTTCTTTGTCCAGTTCTTTTAATCCTAATTTTCACTTTTTGACTAAGTTTTGGCACTCATTTCCTTCCCATACCAACATTGAACAGGGAAAGGTGTGGCAAAATATCAGTATATTTAGCTGCCTGTGAGAACTGCTTCTGGAAGAAATAGAGAAGTAGTTCTCAATAGTGATGGTACAATCGAATCAACTGGGAAGGTTGTTTAAACATATTTCAGTTCCTAGGGCCTGCCCTAGACCAGTTAAATCAAAATCTGTGGATAGAGCCCAGTACCTTAGGGGATATGAAAATCACTAGGGATATCTTCTGCTTTAAATAATATTTTAATATTAAAATAATTTTCCTTGGCATTTAGGTGAGGTCTTAGTTTTTTTGTTTTTTTTAATTCTTTAGGGGACTGACTTACAAGGAATCTGGGGTAGACATTGCAGCTGGAAATATGCTGGTCCAGAAAATTAAACTTTTAGCAGAAGCTACCTCCAGACCAGGTAAGTCAGATCCTGTCCTTTGCTAGTTCATTAACTTTAACAAACATTGTGAATTGATTTGGGCTTTGTAGTTTACTGAGGAAAATGTTCCAAATTAATGCCAGGTTGCTCTAAGTCTTGCCTTACTTAAGCCAAACACATAGTCTTCTGCTTTCTTGTCTCTAATATTAAGAAAAGCATTTCTTATCCATGGTATTAAACTCAAAAGGATATGTCTGCCCCTTTAATATTGAATTACTTTCTTGACAATTTTTAGTGCACATGCTGCTGTCTCCCATTCTCAGGAAAGGCTTCTCTTGTTCTAGCCATTCTTACGAAGAGGTGGTTTGTATATTCACGTTTAATCTATTGAAATGCAGCAAGTAATTACTTTCCTTTGCAACAGGCTGTGATGTTGAGCTTGGAGGTTTTGCTGGTCTTTTTGATTTGAAAGCAGCTGGTTTCAAAGATCCTCTTCTGGCCTGTGGAACAGATGGTGTTGGAACTAAACTGAAGGTAATCAGACACCTACGTGAATAAAGGCCTTTTGTGAAAGATAAGGGAATTTACAGTATATCAAACACATATTTTTCCCCTCTTGACCTATATGCACTAAAGAAAACCATACCAAATAACCATATAATATGGCTAAAACATCTACATGTTTCAACAACACGATATTATTGAGGCTAAATCTGGACGGAAGGGTTATTTTAGGAGATAAAAGGGATACTTTTGGACCAAGGAGCTTATCAGAATTTAGTGTTCTTTTTGTCTTTAGGTGTTCAGAGCAGCTAGCCAAAAGTCGGTAATATTTGTTAGCCTCCATTATAAATTGACAAGATTTAATTTGGAGCTTCTTCTCTTATGTGGATGTTTATATTGTTCTGTAGATCGCGCAGCAGTGCAATAAACATGATACCATTGGTCAGGATTTGGTTGCCATGTGTGTAAATGACATTCTGGCACAAGGAGCAGAGCCCCTCTTCTTCCTCGATTACTTTTCTTGTGGAAAACTTGACCTCCACACGACCGAAGCTGTTGTCGCTGGAATCGCTGAAGCTTGTGGAAAAGCTGGATGTGCCCTCCTTGGTATGATCATCCATTTCAATCACGCATCCTTCTTCTTGCTGTATTTTAGCCCTAGGTATAAACATAATTGGTATTAATACAGCTAACGAGAGAAACTATATATCACAAGATGAGGCAAATAAAATATAGATAATACTACCTGAAGAAAACTTAATAGTGCCCTCAAGGGTTTGTTCCCTAGATTCATACTCCTACACTGGCAGCCAGGCCTTATCTTTCTCCCCAGTCTTTGCCACTGTGTCCATCCCCATCTTTCTCAGTGGCCTCCTGGACAGACAGGGTTGGGGTTATTTCCTCCTTACTGGCCCTGCAGCAGAGGCAGATGGGTTCCTGGCATTCTAAATCTGAACTTAAGCCTCATTTTCTCACAGAAGTGACAATAAGAATAAATTGTACCCAAGGTTTATAAAAATATTGCTTAAATATATACGAGAATTTTGAGCAAAATGAATTTGTAGGTTGACCAAGGAATGAAACTACCTCTTTTATATTGTTTCTGTGGACAAGTCTGTCCCAAGAGCCTAAATTGCCTTTTCAGCCATCTTTTAGAATAGTTCCTGATTTGGAGTCTGCCTGCCTAGACCCTGTCTTTACGTGATATAATCGTAGAGTGAACTATGGTGTACTTTTTAGGCCAGGGCGTTTGGAGTTAGGCAGGCCTAATTAAATCACATCTCTAAGCCTGTACCGTCATCTGGAACACAGTGACTGTGAAGATCAAACATAGGTGAAGGTGTTTCTGAAACTAAACTGCTACAGAAATGACGTTATCTTCACCTGAGGCTTCATCCCGTGAAAGTAACGAAATTTGGATGCTACACTCACTGTTTGTGGAAATTAGTGCTATTTCCCCTGAAATCATGCTTGGTTGAAAGTTGTGTTAGGCAGCTGATAGAGTACATTTTATTGAATGTTTGTGGAATATAGCTACGTGTTTAATTGTTCATATTAAGAGTAGCTGGTGTCACTCCTTCCTAGACACGTTTGTGTGATTTGTTTACTCTTGTGTTATCTTCCTGCCAGGAGGTGAAACAGCAGAAATGCCTGACATGTATCCTCCTGGAGAGTATGACCTAGCCGGTTTTGCCGTCGGTGCCATGGAGCGGGATCAGAAACTCCCTCACCTGGAAAGAATCACTGAAGGGGATCTTGTTGTTGGAATAGCTTCATCTGGTCTTCACAGCAATGGATTTAGCCTTGTGAGGAAAATTGTAGCGAAATCCTCCCTCCAGTACTCCTCTCCAGCTCCTGATGGCTGTGGAGACCAAACCTTAGGTAAATGTATTCACGTTTAAACTCTCCTGCTTAGAAATGTCTGAGCAACCACTTAGTGGAGTTAGTCTCTCATTACTTAAAAGTTAGAATGGAATAAATTACATTATCCTATGGTTTTGCTGTTTGGACATTTTTGTAGAACTGGTGTGTCTGTTCAGGATCACAGTCATTCTGTATTTCAGAATTGTTTTTTATCTGTGCTTTGGTTTTGTATTTGTAGGCTAAGTTTTTGTGTTCTCTCTCCAATGTACAGGGGACTTACTTCTAACTCCAACCAGAATCTACAGCCATTCACTGTTACCTGTCCTACGTTCAGGACATGTCAAAGCCTTTGCCCATATTACTGGTGGAGGATTGCTAGAAAACATCCCCAGAGTCCTCCCTCAGAAATTTGGGGTGGATTTAGGTAAGATTGCTAAAAGGAACTTTTGCTCAGAAAACCATTAGGAGAAAAATACATTATGAGAGAAAACTCTGTGGGTAGTTAGTGCACATATGATTATACAATGGAAAATTCTTAATCATTGGGGTTTCTTGGGGAAAAAATAGGGCTGACCTTTTTCTACCTGATTTTGCTTTATTAGCTATGTTTATAAGGCGTAAAATCCTCTCGTGTAATTGACTTATGTAAGATGAAGTGCTATAAGCAGATGCTCCAAGGGGCTTGGTGATCTCAAGCTCTATCAAGATGGAACCAGGCAGGTGCCAGGAAGGGAAATGGTAGCTATTAAATAGTCCATGGAGGGCCAGCCTCAGTGGCCTAATGATTAAGTTGAGTGAGCTCTGCTTCAGCGGCCTGGGTTTGGTTCCCGGGCGCAGACCTAGACTACTTGTCTGTCAGTGGCCGTGCTGTCATGGCAGCTCACATATAAAAAGAGGAAGATTGGCAACACTTGTTAGCTCAGGGCAGATCCTCCTTAGCAAAAAAGAGGAAGATTGGCAATGGATGTTAGCTCAGCGTGAATCTTCCTCAGCAAATAAATAGTTCATGCAAGAGATAAAGAGAACCCAAACCAAGGCGTCAAGAAGGGAGGCAGATTTGAGAATCATTTTGCACTTAGAAGGAAAAAGAAGTCCCAGGCTTTTAGTTAAGCAGGTGAGTAGATGGTGACATGCACACCAGAGGTGGAGGAGTAGGTCTGGAGTAGGAAGTGGGAATACAGTGTTTTAAATCTTCAGTGTGTTTATTGCAAGGTGTCTGTGAGCAGAAGTTGAGGCTGAAGATAAAGTGGCTGCTCATATGCAAATAGTAGATGGTCATAGCCAAGAGAGTGGAGGGAACCAAAAGATTGTGCCTCAGTGTTCTGTCCACCTTAAAGATTGGCAGAGGTAGAATTACTGAAAAAGAACAGTCCGAAGCAGGGAGTAAGCCGTGTAAAAGTATCATCAACTTTTGGAAGGATCTGAACATGATGCTGGTCAGCAGGGTCAGGCATAGCATGGAGATCTACGATGAGGACCAGAAACAGGCCAGTATATTTCAGAGTTAGCTCAAAAAGCAGTGTGGTGAGGGGAGACATGACCCACGAGATTATTGTGGGGGGAATGTGTGGCAGAGATGTAGAGACAGTGAGTAGAGACTGTTGTTTCAAGAAACTTTTTGGTAAAAAGTAAAGGGGGATAATAACTTATGCTCATGGCAAAAGCGAGGGACAGCCTTTTCCCTCCCTGTTTTTACAGGGTAAAGAGACAAAGTCAGAGAAACTGCTCTAGCTGTCATAGACAACTAATATACATTGGTTTGAGGGAGTGGAAACTGAAGAAGTTCACATAAAATAATGCCTTTCATCATCCTTTTCAAATCGTTAAAAACAGTGGCATGCTGATGAACAGGAAAAGAGGCAGGGCTGATTTCTGCCTTTGCCAATTTCTGTGGTGTAAATACACCCATCCTGGCCAATTTTAAATGGCTGTATTTAACAGCCTCTACAAGCTGGCTCTAGCACACCACTAGTTAAAAATAACATAATGGTCACCCCATCAGGACACTGAGAGTTAATATAGCCATGTTCCTAAAAGCCTTTATGTTTTGAGTTACGCAAATATCTGTATCTCAATAAAAAGGAAACTCGGTCCTTTGCATCAGCCTCTGAGGTTTATTCCAGGAATCATATTTTGACAACAGATTAAAGTAAGGAATTTTCAGCACTCAAGTTACAACTTGTTATATTACTCATGACATACTTGATCATTTGTAGAAACTAGGCATTTAGCCTGTCAGTCTTTTTTTCTATAAATAAATACTTCGTTAATCTTTTGCTAAAATGAGATCATAGTTTGGTAATCTGGTTTTTATCCTGCCGTTTAGTATATCATCAGCATCTACCTGTCATAACAACATCATTTTTGATGCAGAGTATTCTGTTTTTTTGTTTTTTTTTTTTAAGATTTTATTTATTTATTTTTTCCCCCCAAAGCCCCAGTAGATAGTTGCATGTCATAGGTGCACATCCTTCCAGTTGCCGTACGTGGGACGCGGCCTCAGCATGGCCGGAGAAGCGGTGCGTTGGTGCACGCCCGGGATCTGAACCCGGGCCGCCAGCAGCAGAGGGCGCACACTCAACCGCCAAGCCACGGGGCTGGCCCCAGAGTATTCTGTTTTTTTATGGATATACCACTATTTGGTTTTCTGTTGCTGTTCACTTTTGACTGTTGATAGAATAGTGAACATCAAAGTAGCTAAATCTTTTGAGTTCAGTTTTTAAGAATGTACATTTCCCAGGTAGTAGAAGTGAGGTTAAATCTGATAGGGGAGAAGGTTCAGAGACATGTGATGCCTTTTAAATATTGTATCAACTCCAGAGCATTAAAAAAGTGATTATCTTGCAGATCCACCAAATAAATAAGGGGAACTGATAGCCAGCCTTATTATTGGAAGGCAGCTCTGCTCACCACTGTACCACCAACACTGCACTCAACCTTATTATTGAATAAAAAATTCACAATGCCTTCCCTTTCTTGGGAGCATCATAAATATTTAATTCAGTATAGTTTTTATAGATCAAATCCCATAACTATAGATTCCAGAGAACTATCCAAATTCTTGTATTATTCAAGAATTTTATGTATGTATATATCAGCATTTACCTAAAAATTTTTAAGAGATTTTTGTTGTATTGTTTGTGATAATAGAGGATATATTCTTAGACCTATGTCTAAATTTTAAATACAGAGGGACAGATAGTGATCTTACATATTTTATATAGCATGACTTTTCTTTAATAGTGTATGCATTTCTCTAAATCTGTATATAAGCCACCTACTTTTGCATCATGCTTGGGGTGCATTTTGGTCTTCACTAAGACATAGCTAAACATTCACAAAAGGGTAGTATGCCAGCCTTTACTGGAATTCAGCTGTTAGCACATTTAATCCATTAGGGGATTTCTGGGAATCTAGTTAGTTAATGTAGCACAAAACCTCACTCAGTTGTGAATACTGACCTAATGTGTCAACAAAAGTGTTCTTTTTTTTTTGTGAGGAAGATCAGCCCTGAGCTAATATCCATGCTAATCCTCCTCTTTTGGCTGAGGAAGACCGGCTCTGAGCTAACATCTATTGCCAATCCTCCTCCTTTTTTTCCCCAAAGCCCCAGTAAATAGTTGTATGTCATAGTTGCACATCCCTCCAGTTGCTGCATGTGGGACGTGGCCTCAGCATGGCCGGAGAAGCGGTGCGTCGGTGCGCGCCCGGGATCCAAACCTGGGCCGCCAGTAGCAGAGCGCGCGCACTTAACCGCTAAGCCACGGGGCCGGCCCAAAAGTGTTCTTAATGTCTAAAGTACAAATGGATCCCCTAAAAAACTTGTGAAAGGCCGGTTTAACAGTTTTACCTTGTATAAAATAGCAGAGCCAGCCCTGATGGCCTAGTGGTTAAAGTTCGGCACACTCTGCTTCCGTGGCCCAAGTTCAGTTCCTGAGCACAGAATCACACCGCTCGTCTGTCAGCAGCCATGCTGTGGCAGCAGCTCACATAGAAGAACTAGAAGGACTTACAACCAAAATATACAACTAGGTACTGGGGCTTTGGGGAGAAAAGAAAGAGGAAGATTGGCAACAGATCTTAGCTCAGAGCAGATCTTTCCCAGCAAAAAAAAAAAAAAAATAGCAGTGCTGGTTGTAATTTCCATAGCTTTGTATGTATGCATACCTTTATACTTGTGTGAGGTGATAAGTTAATCAAACAACTCTTGCCCATTTTCAGATGCTCAGACCTGGAGGATCCCCAGGATCTTCTCATGGTTACAGCAGGAAGGACACCTCTCTGAAGAAGAGATGGCCAGAACATTTAACTGTGGGGTTGGCGCTGCCCTCGTGGTATCAAAGGATGTGACAAAGCAGATTCTGAGGGATATTCAACAGCACAAGGAAGAGGCCTGGGTGATTGGCAGGGTGATTGCATGTCCTGAAGGTAATCACTCTTATTTAGTTGCTCTTAGGTATATAATCTTAAGTATAACTTGTGTCCTGCCTTGCAGGCTCTCCGCCTACCGTTTATTCCAGCCATTGCTATGGCAGCTATCTTTACACAGCTGTAACATGACAACACCCATGCCAGTGACACCACATCTCTCTTCATTCCTGCTCAGGGCTCTGACAACGTCTGTGTAGCAGTCACATATGCACAGCTATACCCCGCAGGACAACCCATGACCAGTGGGATGAGAGCTAGTGAATAAATCCTCACTTTAGGGACAGAGAAGGGATCAGTTCTGAGGCACAGTCTACACGGCTCCTTTGAGGATCCCAGTGGAATCAAGCCCCAGTTGCCCACAGTGGTGACCAGTTTAATAACACCCTCTTATACTGGCTCTCCCATATTGCTCTCCCGAGATCCTCACTCTGGTTCCCTGGGATCACTTCCCAAAGTAATCCCCACACACCCACGACCTTGTCTCAGGCTCTGCTTTGTGGTTCAGCTCAATCCAAAGAGTCGTAAGCAAGCACCCAAGAAATATTGTGTATTCCTCAGGACTCTTACAGTACTAGAAATTGGCGGAGTGGCGGAAAACCCACTCAGATTAGGTAATAGAGATGTCAGGGCTGGTTGATTTTGTCTGTATCTGCCCTTCATTCCTGTATCATGTAGGTTTCATTTTCAGGCAGGTTCTCCAAATACCGGAAAGATTTCTTGAGCCCACATCCTTCAGCTCACGTTGCAATAAGAGAGGCCCTCTCTTTCTCAACATCCTATATCGAATCTTCGAATGGGCTTGCTTGGATCACATGCCTACCCTTGAGGCCAGGAGGTCATAGCACTATGGTGGAGGGAAGATTTGGAGGGGTGGGGACAGAACACTGGCAGGCAGTAATATATCCACTATATGCTTAGATATAGTGATGTGCTATAGCTTTTAGTTGAAGTGCATAGTCCTTGTACATCTTATTTTCAGAATAAAATACCAAGTAGTCTAAAGTTGTCATAGAATGCTTTTCTTTCCGTTATTACTGTTAATTCACAGTTGTTCTTTACTTACTTATTGGGTGTGTTTGAAATGAAGATTCTCCTCGTGTCAAAGTCAAGCACCTGATTGAAAGCATGCAAGTAAATGGGTCAGTACTGGCGAATGGCACCCTGAAAAATCATTTCTCTGTCCAACCAAAAAAGGCAAGAGTGGCTGTCTTAATATCTGGAACAGGTGAGATGTGGCTTTCTCTTTACTATGGGGCTATAGAAATGCTCTTCTCTTCCTCCTCCCACCCAAAAACACCTCCTTCAGATTGTGAGAATGCTGTCAGCAGAGTGGGGCAGGGCAGGAGGTCATTAAGGAGTGTTATCTTTTCTGCTTCCTCAGTCTTTCCACTTTTCTCAGGCATTTGAGACAGCTCCTAAAGGAAAAGTATAGGGTGTCAGGAAGGTGATTGAAGCAAGAGAAGTTTAGAAAAGACAGAAAGGATGGAAAATCCAACTTCTTTTGTATCATAGCTTCGTAGTTGAAAAGTCTGACAACAGTTGAAGATTTTTTAAATTGTTAATAGTAATAAGAATACAAGATTTATGTTTGACTCTTGTGAATAAAAGAGTACAGTAATAAGAACATGGTGTCCTCTCAAATGGATATAGCATGATTTTTTTTCCCACTATTGTAAGTAACATTGCTATGAACATTCTTGTAAATATACAATATGTTCTTGGGCCAGCCCCATGGCTTAGCGGTTAAGTGCGCGCGCTCCGCTGCTGGCGGCCCGGGTTCGGATCCCAGGCGCGCACCGACGCACTGCTTCTCCGGCCATGCTGAGGCCGCGTCCCACATGCAGCAACTGGAGGGATGTGCAGCTATGACATACAACTATCTACTGGGGCTTTGGGGGGATAAAAAGGAGGAGGATTGGCAGTAGATGTTGGCTCGGAGCCGGTCTTCCTTGGCAAAAAGAGAGGAGGATTAGCACGAATGTTAGCTCAGGGCTGATCTTCCTCACAAAAAAATAAAAATAAAATAAATAAAAAATACAATATGTTCTTAAGTGTATATCTGATTATTTCTTTAGGATACATTCCCAGAAGTGTAATTGCTTTACAAGTCCATTTTAAGGTTTCGATATACTTTAGGCCCAAGTTGATGGTAGAGCAAAGAAAACGAGTGTAAAGGCCATAGTGGTTTATTCTTCTTGAGAGGGTTGATTTTTCTTTGAAAATCATGTTACACTGTTTCTACTGCTATGCTAGAGCATAGGATATTATTTTGCAGGAGCAATTACGTATCCTAGAATCAGGAATACCTATATTTTCATAAACTATTAATCCATTATCCTAAGAGGAAGGGAATTTAAAAGCCTCACATATTTTGCCACTCTTTTCTAAGACATTTATTCAGAAATCTTGACCATTCTGTATTCAAAATGGCATATCTCGTTTTTTTTTTTTTGGTTTTTTTTTTTTTTTTTTTTTTTTTTTTGGGGATCAGCCCTGTGCTAACATCCATCACTCCCCCTCTTCTTGTGCCGAGGAAGACTGTCCCTGAGCTAACTTCCGTGCCCATCTTCCTCCACTTTATGTGGGACGCCACCACAGCATGGCGTGACAAGTGGTGCATCGGTGCACGCCCGGGATCCGAACCTGGGCCGCCACCAGCGGAGCGCACGCACGTAACCACTACGCCACGGGGCTGGCCCTGGCACATATCTCTTTTTAAGAAATGTGAACTCCCTTGTGTTTTTCTTTCTTTCTCAGGATCAAACCTCCAAGCTCTCATAGACAGTACTCGGGAGCCAAGTAGCTCTGCACACATTGTTGTTGTCATCTCCAACAAAGCCGCAGTGGCTGGATTAGATAAAGCAGAAAGAGCCGGAATTCCCACCAGAGTAAGTTACTTTGAAAAGCATCTTTCTCGCGGGCTGCATTTAAACCCTAATCTGCCCTCTCAGGACCTGGGTCTGTAGGGTGCTTGTCCTCTGAGTGCTGGGTTTTGAGTGGGTGCTGGGCTTGCCTTTCTACTTCATCCTGTCCTTTCCTTAAGTCTTTGTATCAGGTGTATCTTCAGATGGAAGTGAAGTATGGTCTATGGTTTTAAATTAGTTTTGGTAATTTGTTGAAAAAGATTGTGCTTATCTTTTTCTATTACAGGTAATTAATCATAAATTATATAAAAGTCGTGTAGAATTTGACACTGCAGTTGACAAAGTCCTTGAAGAGTTCTCCACCGACATAGTCTGTCTTGCAGGATTCATGAGAATTTTATCTGGCCCCTTTGTCAGAAAGTGGAATGGTAAGCAAAAATTGTTTGACACCATGTTGAGAAATCAACTGAAAATGGACTACAGGGCGGTTAACTTGCCAGACAATCCCAGTCGTGAAATGTTGACTGTGACAGTTTATTTTCATGCAGGTCATAATTTAATATCCTTTGCCTGGCCCGAAGAATAACCCAATGATGATTTATTATCCTGCTCTCTTTATCAGTTTTCTTTGGCCTGCTGTAATTAATCACATTCTCTAATATAGCTTAGGCTTGTTCCACATTACTGCAAAGATAATATTTCATCTTCTGAATAAATATTCAGAATATAATATAAATATAAATAATCAGAAGAGACTTTTTACTTGTTTAGAAGCAAGAGAAACTGATTCTCTGTATGCCAAAATGAAGAGTCCATCCTCTCCTTAGGAAGTGTAGACCATTGCCAGAAGATAGCAAAAAGGGCGTTGTTGCCAGAAAACATAATACCTTGCATTATTGCCTTTTTCCCCAAGTTTTGACTGCATCCTATTGTGCTTTTTTTGTATACACATTTGGGCAATAAATCCATTTTCTCTCCAAAGAGTTTTTGTTTTCTTAAGAGAATATAGTTAGAGCACTTGTGATATATTATAAAATCAGCACTGCCTTTGGTGACGTAAGGCACAGAACTAACTAGTCCAGCATCTGGCTGGGGGACATGCCACTATTAGAAGTCAAGCACACAGACACTATACAAGAACCTCCTGTGTCTTTCTAATAGCATGTGCCAGCAATAAGCTGAATTTTCTTCAAGAGCCCTATGATCCAGATTAGACACCCTCCCCCACCCCCATCCAACTTTCAGTCACTGCAGGCACCTATTCAGAGTCCCTTGGTGTGTCTTCAGCTGTGCAAGGCAGGAACTTGCTGCCCCCAGGGCCTCCTTGGATGAGAACCTGTATTTCCCTTTACCTCATTTCTGTCTTTCACAACAAAAACACCCATCTCAGAGAAATCCTGCTCCTGTTGACTCCTGATTCTAGACAGGAAAGCATATATTTCTTTGACAGAATACATAGGATTTTTTAATTCTGACCACTGTGTTTTCAATAATTTCCAGGGAAAATGCTCAACATCCACCCATCCTTGCTCCCTTCTTTTAAGGGAGCAAATGCCCATGAGCAAGTCCTAGACGCTGGAGTCACAGTCACTGGGTGCACCGTGCACTTTGTAGCTGTGAGTATGTCTCTTTCTACCAAAATATTATTAGTCTTTAGATGTAAATTTTACTGGCTAGAAGGTAATGTTCAAAACTTTTGCTTCTTTTTCCAGGAAGATGTAGATGCTGGACAAATTATTTTACAGGAAGCTGTTCCAGTGAAAAGGGGTGACACTATTGCAACTCTGTCTGAAAGAGTGAAATTAGCAGAACATAAAATATTTCCCGCAGCCCTCCAGCTGGTGGCCAGTGGAACTGTACAGCTTGGAGAAAATGGCAAGATCTGTTGGGTCAAAGAGGAATGAAGCTCCTAATTCAGGAATGGAGCCAGTTTTGAAAGAAGTCTGACTGTTTGCGTGGTGGCTTTTTATTACGGACCTGGCCCAAAAGAAAAGCTGCTAAAAAAGAGGCCCTCACCCTTACCTCTTGGGCCATTTTTTAATGAACAGAGATTCATTAAAAACAACTGGTAACAGCATATCTAAGACATCATGTATTGTCTCCAGTGGTCTTTCAGGTTTTACCTGTTTAGGACCTTCTTATTCAGAATCAAGCTAGTCATTCAGAATTCCTTTCACTTTCAGCCAAATAAGATACCAAAACTCTTAGTCTTTCTTATCCTCTATTTCTAACCAATATCACCTCCATTTTTTTAACTGTTCTCTAATCTTTGAAGAGTTAACTAAGTCCAATAAGTTAATATCTCTTCCCCATATTGTATATCTGTACTGATTTGAATTGATCAGTAATTAAGTAAAATAATTGATCCAGTAAGTAAGATAATTACTTACCTAATTATCCTGATCATAATTTTGTGTCATAAAATTTCTGAGTAGCTCCCATTTCTGAGGGATAGTGTCCTTTGTGCTTTGAAATATCATTAACATTCCTCTAATAATTCAGTTTCTATAATGCCTAGATTTTAGCATCACAGTTATTCTATAGATTATAAACATCTATACCTTCATAAATCACTAGAGAGTTAAAGGGAAAATTTTGGTGGCTTCTAGATCAAACATAGGACTGCAGGCATATTACTCATCCTCCCTGTTTCCTCATCTACTAAAGTAGATAAATGCCTATCATATAGTTGTTTTGATAATTAAGTTTAATACATGTGAATTGCTAAAAACAATGCTTGGCACAGAGTAGGCACTCAAGGTTAGCATTTATTTCATAGTTCCTCCCAATTGTAAAAGCTATTGTAATTCATTATTCATTCAATGAATACACCGTGAGCATAAAATCGAGAATGGTGATAAATGGAATATCGGAAGTGTGGTAGGTATTGTTTTGAGGAGGAATGAGGGCAGATGGAGGGCAATCCACCCGGACTAGTAAAGAGTATAATGGGACTGCGTGTATTTCCCACTGCAGCTGGTCATTTCCAATCTGGATATGCAATTCTGTAACTAGGAGGTCTGGGTTGACATAGTGGGTACATGTGCATGACCGTACCCATAGGGCACCAGCCTAGTACCACATTTCTGTCATAGCTGAGTGAACAAGGAATGGCCACCCAGCCCAAAGGCAGCCAGCCATCCTCAGACTGCAGAGCAGCCTTCAAGGTGGTGTGGCCTAAGATCTCTGCCTGCCCAGCAGTGGTGCACCTTCCTGGAAGAGTACCTGGAGCCTCTGTTCAAATTCTCCTTTGGAGTTTAAACTCAAAACCTAACAGCAAAGGACTCTTACAGTAGTTATATACAGAAGATAGTCAACTCGCCCCTCAAGTTAGGAAAGAGGGTCAGGAGGAGCGGAGTGGAGTTGACAGACCTGCTTCAGCGACAGACCCTAATCACTGCCTCCTGTGCAAGTAGGTTTCTCCTGGCCCGGGCAGCTGGCTGACGTTACCTTCCTCACATTGACTGTAGTCAGCAACTGCCATCAGATGGGAAGTCCAGGTGCATCATTTCACACAGGTGCCTTTGCTGTAAAGACAATTGACATTTATTCCAGAGAGTTCATGCAACATTATTAAGCACCTATTACATACATGCCAAATACTGTCCTGTGAAGTTTATAGGAAGTTAAAAGCTATAAAGGAAAATGTTATTGGTTGATAAAATCACATACTGTAATAAAAGAGGCTGGGACCAGGATGTAAGTTAGAAAAATGAATGTGAGCTTATAACTTTAGACATATAATTCCAACCCTTACTTTTGATACTAATCTCCACTAAAAGGAACCTGGACTCCATGTAAAGTAGCTGATTCCATATCTTAGGAAGAATCGAAGTGTGTCCAAAATATCTGGTTGCCAGAAACCAAACACACTTGAAAATAACAAGGATGATACTGAAAGAACAAAGGAGTCAGCGGAAAGGGCGTCCTGCTGTCTAGTTTGTGATAAATTGAATACTATTTGGACATGTCAAGTATGTGAGCAGCCATTAGTTTATAATGATACTCAGAGAAAAGGTCATTTAAGTTATGAAAAAAATCAATGCAAAAAAGAGTGAAAACAAGATGTTAATATTTCATTAATGTAATAAATATGGATATTTATCTTTTTTTATAGATGTCTCTGTTTTTATTTGTGTAAGCAGGAATACAACAGATCAGCCCCTTGATCACACATTATGTTCAGGTAGAAAGACTGGGGGGGACCTGGTGGCGGGGGTCGGGGGAGAGTCCAACTTAATCATCCCTGCTTTACACACGACAATCAAAGAAAAGGATTCAAGTGTGAGTTCCAAAATGATAAGCCGAATGTTCTGAAGTGGAATGTTATAATTTCTAAGAGATATTTCATGGTCTCTAAATGTTCCTTCTCAAATTTTTTACTTACTATTTTTAACTACAAACTTTTTAAATAAGTACAATGTAGTATTTAATCATAATACAGTTTAATAACTGGTACAGCTAGTCCCTCCTCTTTACTTTTCTCATCACAATTTACTTGGCTATTCTCTCCCACGCTAAGCAGCCAGAACCACAGCCAACATGGTGCCCAGGAAGACTGGCAAAGACACTGCTGCCTTGGCCAAGTCGGGCTCCACCCACCCCACTTCCAGTGGGCACTTGATCTGCAGCTGCCGTCACAACCGAACTGCCCTCTGACCGCCTGCCTCTGGGTCACTCCTCCAAGCTTCAAGCCCCAGGCAGGATTATCTGATTGCCAAGTTGAGGTCATCCACCCTGCTCTCACAGCCAGGGGTCAGGGAGAACAGGAACATAGCCTTCAGGCTGTCAGAGAGAGATTGCAACTGCCTCACACACTGGTGGATGCCCCAAACACAGCAAGAGGACTCCCCCATATGACAAAGGTCCAACTCCATAGTTCAAGTGACAGATGCAGCTGCAAGCAGTTCAAGAAGATGATAAAATCCCAGCTTTTTTTTTAAGTTCATGTTATGCTGACAGTTCCTCTTGGCTTCTTATCTCCCTGAGCTGCTGTTTATCAACGATCTCTCTAATACATAAATTTTGCCTCCTCCACCACGTTTAAAAGAGACAGTCTCTGATCGCCATTCTTTCACAAGCCATGTAAACCTTTTTTTTTTTTTTTTTTTAAAGATTTTTTTTATTTTATTTTTTGCCCCCAAAGCCCCAGTAGATAGTTGTATGTCATAGCTGCACACCCTTCTAGTTGCTGTATGTGGGACTCGGCCTCAGGATGGACAGAGAAGTGGTGCCTCGATGCGCACCCGGGATCCGAACCCGGGCCGCCAGCATCGCAGCGCACGCACTTAACCACCAAGCCACAGGGCCGGCCCAATGTAAACCTTATATTTACCACAACATAAGGCCATTTTCCTTTATCTGGAGCCAACTGTTAATTAACACTTAAAAATTAATTCTTAAGTAGAAACAATCCAAATGTTCACCAGCTAATGAACTGATAAATAAAATGTGGTCTATCCATACAATGGAATATTAGTCATAAAAAGGAATGAAGGACTGACACATGCTACAAAACGGATGAACCTTAAGACATTAAGCTAAGTGAAAGAATCCAGTCACAAATGACCACATATTTATGATTCCAGTTATATGGAATGTCCAGAAGAGGCAAACCCATAGAGACAGAGTCGACAAGCAGTTGCCCAGGGTTGGGGGGATAGACATATTTGGGGGTAACGACTAAAGGCTGCAGGGTTTCTCTTTGGGCAATGAGAATGTTGTAAAATTGATTGTGGTGGTGGGTGCACCACCCCATGAACACACCTAAAGTCATTGCATTGTACACTTCAAATGGGTGAATTGTGTGGCATATGAATTCTATCTCAATAAAACTGTTCCAAAAAGAGAGACAACCCCTTCTGTGTCACTGTAAAAAAAATTAATTCATAGTTTTTGAAATATGTCAAGATTACATTTAATCTTATAAAATACATCAAACTTACAATTAAAATACTGCACATTCAGAACATGTGGCCATTTAAATTAATACACATAGGACTTCCATGCTTTATGACAGAAATCATATTAAAGACTGTCTATCTGAATAGCAATCCTAATCCTCAAATCCTCCATCTGTTGACCTGGTAATTCTCATGGGTAAGCTTATTAAGAATGCTAACTCCTCGGGTGGGCCCAGTGGCGTAGTGGTTAAATTCGCATGGTCCACTTGGGCGGCCCGGGGTTCTCAGGTTTGGATCCTGGGCACAGACCTATGCACCGCTTACCAAGCCACACTGTGGCAGGCATCCCACATATGGAGTAGAGGAAGATGGGCACAGACGTTAGCCCAGGGCTAATCTTCCTCACCAAAAAAAAAAAAAAAGAATGCTAACTCCTGACATCCACCTGTATTCTGAACGTTGCAATAAAGGCCTGAAAATTTCAACATTCTGAATCGATTTCATTTTACAAAAAGAAAAAACTTTATGAATTGAAAAATTTGTGGAAAGTCAAAAACTGCATTTTTAATTTTTCTGCACCACTAAACTCCAGAAATTTAAAGGAAAAATTGTTTTGTTATAGCAGTGTTGTTCAATCCCCTGACTGCTTTAATTATACGCAAAAACAAAACAAAAAGATCATAGAAAATCATGTTAAATTAAATATTCAGCTGACAGATCTATTAGGTCCTCCTTCATTTTGTTGGAAGCCAAGTATTGGAAACTATCCAATTTTGTAAAAGATTTATTTTCCTTTCTCAGCATCCACAGCAAATCAACCTTTTCAATTGTGCTTTCTTTGGTGCCCTGAAGGTGTTTACAGAACCCTCAGTGATACAGGATAAGTGAAAAGTAGGCCTTTCTTTGCAAAACGAGGAAAGAATGATGTTCAAAGCGGAGTGTGGGACTGACTTGCACACCTTTAGGGATTTGGGTACTGACTACCCCTATACCACTCCTGGGTCAGTCATAGCTTAGAGATGGAGCTTAGGCACTGGAATTGAGCGGGTTGGTGAGGGTAGATGATGAAAGTAATCTGAGTGCAGGGACTCTTGAGAGCACCCAGCACTAGAACACTTAGTGATCCAGTGAGAGAGGAGGAGCTGGCAAAGGAGACAGAAAGAAGGGGCACTGCAGCAGTGGGGCT